ATATACACTACATTTCCCAGAATCCATTACCTGTGTTGAATTGCAATTCTGTCAAATAATTTTGCCATCATTCCATTTCAAATTTCAGTTTTAATTTATTTAGGGCATGGCCAATACAGTTCAAACTCATGAACTGGCAGGATATTAATTATTCACTTTTGAATTTTGCAACAACCCCTTTCTGTACAGAACTAAAAGTCATAGAATCATGTCAGGTGTACTTTTTTCACCTTTTAACCTCAATGTTGGGATTAATAGAGTATATGTATTTAATATTGTTGCAAAAAAAACGTTTCCAGGAATTTCTTTGTAGCCATACATATAGGAAATGATTTCTAAGCTTCTTGCAGCATAACCGTTCATGAAGAGCAGCTACTATAAGGAGAGAGATGGAAAGCGAGGGTAGCTCTGAACAGCACTTACCCACACACACCCACATCCCATCATCCAAACAAAGCACTCCACTCACACATCATCTGCAAATGCAAAGGTTCCTCAGTGTGTGGGTTGAGCAAATGGCACCAAGTCACGGTCACACACCAAGCCAAATGCTGTTAAAGCCTTTAAAGTAACACTAGTCAAACAGGGTGTGGGAGGACTGGAACCTTTTCTATGATCCCTGTCTTTGCCTTTAAAATGACCGGTGTCCTCTGACCCCTCTAATTGTAAGGTATAAGGCCGTCAGCGTTGGGAAGGTTACTTTGGAAATGTAATAGTTTACAGATTACAAGTTACCCTATCTCAAATGTAATAAGTAGTGTAACTATTTCAATTACTTTATTAAAGTAATGTAACTGATTACATTTGATTACTTTTCTAAATTTCTAATGTTTTCAACCAGGCAGCGCTATCCTTACAGTAGAACTCAACACTGCTCATTTTCAAAATCCTTTCTCCCTTGAATTAAGATTATAATAATTTAATTTTAAAGCACAGCCAGCACAAAATCAGACTTACTTTGAGATCATTCTGAGGTTAAATACAGATTTAAAACCATAACAAGTAATAGTTTAATAGCTATGACACTGTTTTTGAAATCAAAATGTTGCATATCTATGACAGGAAACACTGGCATCTAACAATGGCTGAGAAAAAAACCCAGTTAAACTTAAAAAAATAAAGCATATACATAAACCCAAATAGGAAATAAAACAGTTATCAAATAGGAATGTGTCCTATTCTGTGTCCTATAAACTCCTGAAACATTGGGCTCTCATATATTAGTGATGTCTCTGCAATTTCTGAAAGAAATCAATTAAATCTGTATGTGGGTGTGTAAAAAAATTCAAATGAAACCCCCTTTGTAATCGTTAACATTTTCAAAAGTAACTAATTTAATGACACATTTTTTCTCAGTAATTGTAACTGATTACAATTACATTTATTTTGTAATTAAATTACGTAATTTAGTTACATGTAACTAGTTACTCCCCAACACTGAAGGCCGTGTCCAAAAGTTCACAAGGCACTTTTCTTTATTTTGCCCACTGGGCTATCAAAGTGGTTTTCTGATCTACTGTAGTATCACAAAAAGGGGAAATGAAAACATGGTTGCACTGGCTTCCATTGATAGGGCTTTTCCTTCCATTTGTGTCAAATTGCAGATGCAGAAGACCTCTCTCCTCTGCACGCCCCCACCACTCCTCCAGATTAGATGGACACAGATAAATAGATCCTCTGGATGGAGTGAATATTGCACTGTGCTGAATGAATAATGTATGTACGTGGCTGACATTGCGGGTCTGATTTGTTTTAGATTGAGACAGAACACAGCAAATTCACTCATAATACCTATTGAAGGATTCAGACTCCTGTGATACTATGAAGAGTACATTAAAGGAATAGTTCACCTAAAAATGAAAATTAGCTGAAAGTTTACTCACCCCCAGGCCATTTAAGATGTAGATGGGTTTGTTTCTTCATCCCAACAGATATGGAGAAATGTAGCAATTATCTCACTTGCTCACCAGAGATCCTCTGTGATGAATGGGTGCCGTCAGAATGAGAATTCATACAGCTAATAAAAACATCACAATATCCATAATAACGTTTCCTTTAGTCCATCCCCTGTAATTCTCTCACATCAAAATTCACCATCATATTTATTTGGAACAGTTTAGGACTGTTTTTCGCTTGTTAGCTGTGTTAGGTCTGTGCATATTTCTCCCTTGATACAGATTAGACACCTTTTTCCACTGGAGAAATCAATCATATGTATAGAGGAGTCATATTTTAGCTGGAAACAAAAGTTAAAAACATCTTGATAGATTTGTTTATTACAAACATGCAGATTTTCACTTTACATGTTAATTGATGGATTGGAGTCACGTTGTAGGTTGTTGTTTTTATCAGCTGTTTGGATTCTGATTCTGGCGGCACCCATTCACTGCAAAAGATCCATTGGTGGGCAGTGATGTAATGCTAATTTCTCTGAACCCATTCATATGAAGAAACTCAGCTACATCTAGGATGGCCCGAGGGTGGGTAAATTCTCAGCTAATTATATTTTTTGGGTAAAAAATTCCAGCGTGCATCCAACAATAGTGAGTGTAAACTGCTATGAAATTTACTTTATTTATTATACACAATGAGTAACTTACCCATAGATTGCAAACAGCTTTTTATTCCCATCCACTGCATTCCTGCAAAACAGAAGGAGGCGATGTTACTATTCCCATCATTCAATGCCCTGTTACTAATTTTAGAATTAACACATTCTGTAAACAATTGTGATGTTTCTGAATCCCAAAAGCATTTTCAAATGTCTTTTAACATGTCTTGAGTTCCAATTGTGTTGTTCTGTTAATCTTTGTTATTAAAGATCTGTTTATCATGAGCACATGCAGTACACACACACACACAACTAGATCAGGATTATCAGATGCTTGCAGGACACAGGTGGACTGTATAGAAGTAACAGCTGCTCTCATGTGAAAATCTCTGGAGTCCATATCAATGAAGTCAATCAGCAGTCAGACAAAAGCACTTAAAAATGAACCAATCCCCAAAACAACTACAATATCATATTATACCTACACAACAAAACTGTCTGTACAATCTTCATGAATCTAGAATAAATCTCGTCCTAACGGATACGTGTCCCCCCCCCCCAATAGCACTGTGACCATTAAAACCAACCCAAAGCAGATGTTTAATTTACTCGCTTGAATCAAAGACTCTTCGGTTCTCTTGCTGTAAATCAATGTTACGTCTTCAATATGCATTACTTTACTCTAGATACCCATAACGAGTGTGTTTTACTGGGATTCTTTAATACACATGCTTGTTTTTAAAGTTATAATATGAATACTTTTGGATTAGGATTTTGCATAATCTCTAGAACAGTGCTGTGCCACATCTTTTTTTTATGATGTGTACGACATTTAAGACATTGCCCAGATGTCCTGTCAACCCAAATCAGCAATAGGGTGTCATTTATAAAAGAAACTAGTTCAATGAGTTATTTTCACTTATGCACAACATGAAACTGGAGCAGGTAGAGCTTTTTACGGTTTTCATTTATCGACTGAAGAAGCACTGCAGTAATAGTCAGCATCAGAAAAAAATGGGATTAGAGTTCCCTCTGATGGCTGTCCTCATTACTACTTGTGCCTTTTATAAAACAATGATCAACTCTGCTCTCGCAAACCATTTTTGAATCTAGTCCTATCAAATCAATATTATTTATCTTTGACTGATACCTTGATTACTTATAGCTAAGCTTCACACATGCTTTAATTTATCCTCAGGACGATTCTCTAATTTACAACCCGTTTTAATTGAGTAGGCTAAAACTGATACTTTTAAACCATAAATATCCCCAGTGGAGATATAATAGTTCGCGTGTAGAGGAAGCCAGCCTGGCGCGGGGTGGGGGTGCCTAGGGGTAAAGGCTCGCGCACAAAATGCCTAGTAAGCTGAATTGTTGGGAAATCCGCTCATTTTCTAGCTTCCCCGCTCGTAACGCACGCCGGCGCCGGCGCCGGGGTAATCGCGCTTTTCACCAAATAAACTCAAACAAGATAAGTTGCAAACCCCAACGGCCGCTCAAATTTCCCTCGGGGGGTAATTATGCAGCGCTCGCAGAGGTGACGTCCTATTACTTTGGTCCCAAACATGAACAAATGCCACTAGAGTGACAGTTGGGCTATAGAGTGGGGAGATCCAATCCGGCGACCCGGTAAACGGAGAACCCTCTGTAACGCCTGAACGGTTGCGCAGATGAGCGTTGAGATGTCGTACACTAGGCTACCTCAGAGGGAAGAAGGGGGGAAAAGTAATGGTCTGTTAAAGGGGATGTGTTGACTGGAGGGGGAATAGGGGGAGAGAGAAAACAAAGACTTGTTTTAAGGGTTGTTGTGCTGTCTGATTACTGTCGTTCAATTGGATTTAGGAGTGATGAAGAGGTCTTTGGGATGCGGAAGAAAGGAAGGGATGCTCTGCAGCGGTTCTTCAGTCACTGAATCGTAAGAGAGTACGGCACAATGAGCCTGTATGGTTAAGACTGGATATATCTGAAGAACAACGCATCACACTACTGCTGTAAGCTGAACGTTGCGGGATTTTGCTCACTGCTTCAAAAGGAATTCATTGCAGTTGTTCAACGTGGATCCACTGCACCATTCAGGAATTTAAGGTGAGATACGATGCTTTTACTGTACACTATCTCTGCTCAACTCTGCTTTGAAGGACTCGCTATAAATGTTCGACAAGTTTATACGCCAGAGGCTGTTAAAACTATGAATTACAGCTGCTGCAAACTCAGCGCTCCTACAGCTTTTCACGTTGAAGGAAATGTTGTAAACTGGCATTCAGGGGACATGCACAAAACAGACAACGGATTCTTGACATTGGAATTGCGTAAAACGAAATAATTACTTTAATTAGCAAATAATTAAATAACATTATAATTAAAATAAAGACAGCATTGTAATTGCATCAATAATAATAATAATGAAAAAGTATTTGGTTAACACTTTTGCTTAATTGCTTTGATGATTTTTTTTTGTTAGTTTTTTTGTTTACTGATCATCCTATTTTATGCTTTTTGTAAGCACCACAAAACTTTGTCTTTCCCTGTTAATTTTCTTTTTAAATTAAAGTGTGCATAATTCAGTTTCCCTGAAGAATGGTCAGATTATCATAGTGCTGGAATGAACTCCCTATCCTGGACTTTTGCAGGTATGGGATATGGACCACATTGCAGCGCTAAAATGAGAAGTCTGTGGGTCGGTGTTTTGTTCATGACTTTCACCTGCCATCTGAGGTAGATTGCACGTTTAACGTTTAACTTTCTTTTTCTTTTTCTTTTTTTTTTTAGTTCATTGCAGGAGTCAATTAATGTTAAATATCATATGTCTATAATTAATTCATATTGATTCAAATTTCCAGACCACTATATCACTGTGGTCATGTTTGAAAGGAGGATGAGAGTTAGTACTTGTAGTTATTAATTATCTTTGTGGTCTTGTGAATCAGCCTTTCCCAGACTACTACAGGGATTCCTAAAGAGTCAGAGCTCAATGATAACATCACAGTTTTCACACGAATCCTGGATGGATTGCTGGATGGCTACGATAACAGACTGCGACCTGGGCTTGGAGGTAAACTGCCTAGATACTATTTCCATCTCTAAATGATCTGATCTGTAGCAAAATCGTGCTTTAGTGAAAAGTGTTTTTTCTTTGTATATTAATGGCATTTATGTCTGGCATTGACCTCCGGGAGTTATTCTGAAAAGATGTGTTTAGATAAAGGAGGATGGTTTTTGAAAAACAGAGAGAACGCCTGCACATTCCATCGTGACAGCAGCATGAAGGACTTTCATTAAAAAAAGAGAGAGATGCTGCTTCTATTCAATCCACTAACTGGAAGGAAAAGTACATAGAAAAGGAAAAAAATCTGTGTTTTTATACAGCAGATGTTTGCACCGAGCAGAAGTGATCGCTGAAATTGCCTGGTCCTCTGTGAAAATCAAACGGACACTATTTCCCGGCACTCTCAATTACAGTGTTTTTGCCTGAGACAGAGGTAGAGAGAGAGAGGGTGAGAGAGGGATATGAATGTGGCTGCTGACCTTGAGAAAGCTATCGTTCTTTTTCAAAGGTGCAGGTTCATTGTTCTCAGAGGTTGAACGCATGGCAGAGAAAGAGAATAAACACAGGCTGCTCTGTTTCCACGTGAGAGAGTTCAAGGGAGCACGTCTCATAACTGTAGCAGCAGCAACGTGATGTCAATTGACAAATGATGGCATTGAACTTGATTTAGTGCCTTGAGAAGGAAAGTGCAATCAGGCGGATGAAATTAATTGCTTTTCATTTAAAAAATTAATGCAACTAAATAATATGGCTGAATCAAAGCATACTTCAGTGGACATTCTGTATATATATATATATATATATATATATATATATATATATTATATATACACAATATATATATATTAAAATTAATGCAACTAAATAATATGGCTGAATCAAAGCATACTTCAGTGGACATTCTGTATATATATATATATATATATATATATATATATATATATATTATATTTACACAATATATATTTACTTTTATTTCAGTTTTAGTTATTTTAGTATATAAAGTTAAACTAAATTAAAATGAAAAATGTTACCTTGGCAACTAGTTGAAATAATGTTTTTTTGTATTATATTTTATTTCAGTTATTGTTTATTTTATTATAAGTAATGTAAATTTTTTTTAATGGTTTTAATTTTAGTTTCAGTTATAGTTTTAGTTCACTATAATAACTATATCTATGTGTTTATGTATTTATCTAACTATGTATGCAATGACCAAAATTGAACTTGATCTAAAAAAAAATCGCAATTTGTTTTTGCTTTTACAGAGAAAGTGACAGAAATAAAAACCAACATCTTTGTGACCAGCTTTGGACCAGTGTCAGATACTGAGATGGTAAGTATTTCAACCATATCTTTCTTCATGAACAACCACCATTCATTGACCTCTACAAATTCCCACCTGAGATGTCTCTTCATCAAGACCGCCTTCATTAAATCCTGCCTCCATCTGTGACATTACTTCACCTCTGCAACATTCCCTTATATTCTGCATGCAATATCTTAGGCAGGTCACAGTACGATCTGATGAATGATACTATTGTTTATTTTTATATTCAGTCATGCGACACATTTGATTCTGCCTTCAGGCAAGGTCGTTGCTGTATTGATGGGCCACTGGAGAAAAAGTGTATGGGGAGGCCTCAGTGGGCCCCTCCTCCTCATCACAGGACCTGGGGTCCCTCACGATGACCCTGCCTTCAGGTACACACTAATGACACTAACGTTTTTCTTTCAACAGGAATACACCATTGATGTGTTTTTCCGTCAAAGCTGGAAGGATGAACGTTTGTGTTTCAAGGGGCCGATGGAGATGCTACCTCTGAATAACCTGCTGGCCAGTAATATCTGGACACCAGACACCTTTTTCCTTAATGGCAAAAAATCCATTGCTCACAACATGACAACGCCCAACAAGCTTCTGAGACTGAAGGATGATGGGACATTGCTGTACACCATGAGGTACCAGTTTAAGCTATAACGGACGCCTTGTCATTTCACAACATGTGAACTGCTGTGTGCATGAATGGATTTGAGTAGTTATGGGTAGTACAGTTACACATTTGACCTTCATCTCATTTATGCCCTCCTCACCCCTGTTTTGCACTGTTGAACCCTCTGCCTTGTGACAGATGTGTTAAGCACACATGAACTCGGCTCCTGCTGAACTCAGCATCTCATTTTCCACATCGTACAATCTCAGTGGGAATGTTCAGTTTGCCCCTGCTAAAGCTAAGATTTCTCTCTATACATTTTCCGATGCTGTCTATTCACATCTATATTTGATTAAATATATAAATGAAATACAAAATTCTATTAGCCTCGTTTAAAAATATCTATCTATCTATCTATCTATCTGATTATTTTGTAACTTTAAGTCAATTATTGCTGATGCTACCAAGACTAATCTAATCAAGACTAATGTCATTTTTGCACTTAAAAAAAAATATATATTTTATCCGCCTAGATAATTTTACCTAGTTTTCAAGTTCAAATTTTTTTTTTTTTACTTTGAGCAGTGTACTGAGGTTCCAGAGGCAAATTCCAATTTTGTTGACACTCCACGCATTCATTTATTCAGAAAATGTACCTACTGCATCTAGTTTATTTTGGTTTCTCTTTGTGCCCTGAACCAGTCATCCAAGGGTGTTCCAACCTAAGGGTGTTCCAGAGAAAAAGCAAGAGGGGGTGAGACAAAGCAAGAGATAGAAACAAAGGAAAAGGAGAAAGCGGAAAAGGGCGTGTGGCTGCATGTTTTATGCCCCTGTTGTTGAGTTGTTCTTCACAGACGGTCTGCTCCATTACTCGCAGTATCAGGGCAGAGGGAGAGAACATGCATGCACACACTTACAATCACACACAAACAGTTTCTGCTCGCCATGCTATCATCAGCAACAATCTACTGCCAAGCACTGAACACTGCTGTGTTAGTGCTGTATAAAAGCTGCTATTGTTGTTCTAAAATGGCATCAATACTAAATCCTCTCTGTAGTAGAATCTGCTTGAGAAAGTGCTGAATTTTGAGGAGCACAATCATAAAGTGTTTAGATTGTGGTGGTTATGTATTTGTTGTTTTTATTCCCCCCCGGGTTACAGATATGATGATCCATTATATAATGAGTTATTAGTTTTTATTAACTCAAATTTAAATGCAAAGTGGGATTTGGCGAGTTTTCCATAGAGGTAACAAATAGATTTCATGTAGTGGGGCTAAAGCAATATAAAATAAATGAAAAAGTCATAGAACACGGATAATTTCATTTACATGAAACGCATTCCTTTCTCATTTGCGGAGCGTCCCTGTTTTTTTATTGTCTGTGTTGTATATTGTAAGACCAAATGCATATTACAAAATTATTCAATTGCTAAAGCCTTAGATAGAGCTGCTTTTTTAGATTGTAGATTGAACGAGATCATCAATCAAACATTAATGACTCTGTGAGGAAATGACTTGGAGCATGTCATTTAGAAATCAATGGTGGAGCTATTGTAGCTTGCCTACAATAAACTCTGCCCAGTGTTGCATTTCCTAACAGTGCGAACCATTAAAAGGGCCTTTTACCACTCACTAATGTGCACATTGTTTCCGGACAAGTGATAAGCAGTAAGGTTTTTTTATTTTTCCTGCTGAGATGGAAAGGAGCACCTTAGCTGCCATGAAAAAGCAGGGCAAAACAGTTTCACCACCCACATTCTAAAAGTGGAATGCAGTCTACAGGCTTTTATTAGAGTAAAAAAAAGAGGTTATGAGACCGAACAAAAGGGAGATGTTCTAGAAACTGTCAAATCTTCTGAAGGATCTGCCATGTTTTTAAAATAACTTCTTAGCTTGAGCTCGATGTTGAGAGAAATGGTGCAGTAGGAAAACATACATTGTAAAAATCACAAATATAAAGTAAAAAAAAAAATTTAAACGGAGTCATAAACAACTTAGACACTGAGAGGGACACATCCTCCTCAATATTCAAATTAATGGTCAACCAATGTGAATTTTTTAATGAGCGATTGTTGTTAAAATTTTACCTTTGATCCCCTTAATACTGAATATCTGTTTAGATTTTTGTGTGTATACATAACTGCTTAGTATATATATATATATATATATATATATATATATATATAATAGATTGACACAACAAAATAAAATATTAAGTGACAAAAAAGCAAGGTGCAAACGACTTTGCTATCCACATAACATAACTGCTTAAAATAGTAATGAACTGTAATTAATCAGTAATGAACAGACATCTGATTCTCCATGATTTTTAAACTGCTACTTGACTGTTAATGTGCAAATTAATACAAAGCCCTGTAGATTGTTGTATGTTGTTATGTACAATAATTTCTATAAATTGCAATGACACATGCATACACTGTATATAAAGAGTTCATTTTCAAAAATGTATAACTTTTTTAAAAATGTTCAAAACTCATGTTTTTTTTTTTATCCTGTATTCCAATTAATATAAATCAAACTGCAGTTGGGTTGTTTTGATTAAATAATAATAACTAAAAATACAGCTAACTAACACAATTAAAACATGATAACACAATCAAAAACATGATTTATGAAAATAAATATAAACGGAGTTATCTGTTTTGATATCTTTTTTATATCTGTTTTAGTAAACTCTTCATATACAATCTGAAAGGTAGACACTTCTAATAGTAAAAAGCACAGTCTATTACTATATTATCTCTTTAATGTGTAAAGAAACGGTAAAAAAGTAGTATTTTAAGTATGCATTATTTATAATTGCAGCTTAGGTTTGTATATTACTATAGTGCTGGCACAGAATCAGCCACTGTTATTTAGAGAAACAGACTTCTTCTACAGAACATTCATGTGAAATTTGTAAGACAGCCAAAGGAAGAACAGAAAATAATAATTTATGAGCTTTAATGGGCTATCACAGACCAAATAAAGCTCACAGTCAGGATAAAGCTCTGAGTGCTCATGATTTGTCAAGGCCCCAGTGCCACATCATTTCGTCTCCACATCCAGCAATGCTGACCTCAGCGCTACCTGTGTTCAGTAAGTACATAGCGAGCCCTTCGCCTCCCATATGGCTGGTTTTGATAAAGTTGTGTGAGCTGGTCGAGTGGAGGTTGAGTTTAGAGGACAGTCCTTCATTTTTCCAATACAGCAATTCATCATGGAGCTGTCAAGAGATGAAGGCCCTGCACTGATTAAGTGAAGGAACAGCGTCTCACGTGTCCCGCCCCATTAATTACATTCTCGCAGGATTTTCAGTCAGAGATACAACCATTGGCCCTTCAACCCCGGTCTCATACTCAGATGCTGATGATGGAGGTTTTAAGCAGTTCTAGTAGCATGGCAATATCAAACCCTTCATTACACTGTCAGCTGAGGGTCAACGCTGACGTCTTATTGCATTGCTTACACCAAATCATTGAATAGGCTCCAGCCGGGATGTTGAGGGAAAGGCGTAATGGCTAGAGGGTGGCATAATATGGCGGCCATCCTGTAGCCATTATGGTAATGCTAGTATGATCAGCCTTGATCTCATATATTTGCTTTTCTAAATGGCTTTGCTGATGACTTTTGGTTTAGCAGCAGACTTTGAACATTGATTTAAATAGACTTTATGCAACCTGGCATTGTAAATCTAATGGACGTACTTCGTTGTAACAGGAAGTGCCCGAATCCTTTTGGCTGTTCAACAGAGGGACAATAATAGTGTGATTCTACTTCCATTTCATATTTCTAATGTCATGTTAGATCACTTATATACTATATAACATCCAGCAATCAAATTCAGTGGCACTCACTCAGATAGAATGAATTGATGTTCATCTCCATCACATTTAATGTGTTTAGCCTCAGATCTTTTCAGAAAATCATATGGTTATAGAATTAAAAAGCTGTGTTTCAAAACTGGTCCACTAGAGGGGGCTACAGGATAGCAGATTCAGCCACCGCAGAGCCTCCGCAGTGTTGTCTACATCAGGGGGTTTTAAAGTTATAAGTTTGAACTTTTAACATAAAGGCAACAATATGTTTTTACGTATAAAGACTTATTTATACAGTGTACGAAATTCTTTCTATATATATATATATGACAGCGAATTTGACATCTTTCTCTCTTTTGACAAACGTCTCAATATTTTTTTCCCCCTCTTTTGGAAAGTCATAAAAACACTATGAGATCACTGTGTTGACTTCCTCTTCCGAGAACCCCACGAGGAAAAAAAAAAGGGCTGAAAAGCAACAATATAATAAACAATATATAATAACATAATGTTATGTAGTTCTAGTTTATAAAATGTAATAACTTAAATTTCAACAAAAATTTAGTTGAAATTGAATCAGTCTTCACTAGTGTGGTAGAACTGAATATAGTCCCTGGTGAAAAAAATACTAAAATGTATTTGAAATACATTTATTTAATGCTAAGTATATTACAAATACATTTACATATTTACGTGCTTAATAAAAATACCCTGTAATTGTAACGGGTATACTTAAAGTCTGGTAAGTTGGAACAACTCATTTTGTACTTAATGCACTACTTGTGTGGAAGTAGTGCTGAAGTCCAACTAAAGATACACTGAAGTATATTTGATTGTGCTAAAGTGGAACTATTGCAAGTATACTTCAGGTACATTTTTAAATATATAGCATTTAAAGACTGATATTATACAGAGATCATACAATCCTTATTAATAGTGGATTGTTAAACATTAAGAAATGTGCATTGTGCAATAAAGAAATACTCCAAATAAAGTTGAATTATAATTTTATATCAATAAGTCTTAGATAAGGTCAACAAATATGTTAATGGTTTTGAAGTATACTTAGTATAAAATAAATGTATTTTAAATAAATTATAACACATATAAAATTTGTGTTTATTTTTTATTTATTTATTTATTTATTTGCTTGGGGGTAGTGACATGGCACAGTGTAATTTTTTTTTTTTTGCTTGTAGTCCTCAAATATTCCAATAGGTGGCGATGTCAGTTCAAAATAGATTTTTGAAATCCTATTTTATGCAGCTTGAGTGTTTAAAAATGCATTGGAATCAAACATGAGTGAAAACTGAATATTGAATAGGAAATGGTGTTTTTATGCACGTGTTTGTAATGCTGGTGAGTACGTGCATGCGTGTGTGTGTGTGTGTGTGTGTGTGTGTGTGTGTGTATGCATGCATTTATGTGTATATCTGTATCTCACGTGCGAACGAGACGTGAGACGTGCGGATCCATCTGCAAGGCTTTATTAAAGGGGGTGGTCATGAAACAGGCATGAGTCAGACAATGGCAAACAGGTATATTAAGGGCAAGACAGAAGAGTAATCCAAAACGGGCGTGGTCGATCAGCGGCTAACACTTTACTTCACCGATTTGGCAGCATTCCTACATGAGGGCACCCTTGTTCTATAAATACATCTAAGAGCACTCAACACGCTAGCTCAGTCTTCCTATTAATATACACAAGTTATTCAAGCCCATAGCTACATTAAGGGGATTTTCAATAAGACATTGAACACTGATTGAATTAGTTACAATCAGCTACTCACTGTTCCAGTGATGATTGTCACTAAGCTGATGATGCCTGAAGACATGTTTATACTAAAAACTGATCGTTAAAACATACTCAGATGTGCTGATCAAGATTTAATAATATTTTAATTTTAATTTTTCTCTCTGCAGATTGACCATATCAGCGGAGTGTCCCATGCAGTTGGAGGATTTCCCTATGGATACTCATGCCTGCCCACTCAAATTTGGCAGCTGTAAGTCCATAATGTTTTATTCTGAATGAATAAAAATTCCTTTGCCACTGCCCAAAAAAACCCATTATAATGTATACTTCATTGCCATTATAAAATTATTTTAAAATAGCAGATTCCAAGAAATCATAAAATAATCCCTCTGATGAAATATAGTCACTACTCAAAATGCAAGATTACATCCATCTTATTCAGTAAATGCATATGAATAGTATCTCACATTTAAATGAACAAGATGCAAGTAGAAAATCTTCATCTTCATTTCTCTCTGCATTTGTTCTCAATACATTTGTGTACTTTTTACCAAAATATTGAGTAAATTTATACTAACTTGACCTATTTTAGTCAGCTTGACGGACTGGTGTTTAAGGTATATCTGAACACATACTGAGTCCAATTTAGTCTGATTATCATGTGGCATCCTGTCCAAGAGCAGGATTAAGATTATCACCTGGTGCTAGCAGAAAGAAAGGTGATTTGAGGACTGGATTAGTAGGAAGGTGTCCTGCCATCCCTCCCATGCTCACGTACGCACTGCCCGCACACAAAAGAAAGGCTTTTTGGTGCTAAGAAGCCAGGAATGACCTGAGATGGGCTCAGCTTTCTTTGATGTTCAGGGTATTACAGGATAGGGCTGTACATGGAGAGCCTTTGGGTTGGGATACAGCAGAAACCATGACAGACAGTGCTTAGGAGGGGTGCCACTGATGTTTCATGATTGTGCATATCTGAATATTTGATTGTATTTTATAGCTGCATAGTAAAATCCCTCATGACCTGAAGTTCATTCAGTAGTTGCATAAAACCACGCATTGTGCTTACTGCTTACGCTTTCCATGGGTATGTCAAGATTTAATAAATAAATAAAAAAAATCGGCCAGCATAAGTTGATGTTTAATCTAATTTGGCCCGTGACCTAAAATGAGTCTGATGCAGTGCTTTTGGGAATCTCATAGGCTTCCCAATGTGATTGGATGGATTGTTAAATTAGAACATCAATGTACCGGTAGTTAGAAGTACAGTATAAAATCTAATCACTCTAAAAGTAAAATTGTACTAACCTGCCTGGTTTGACCTGAATCCAACTTGATGTATGCAGACAATCCTTGAAACTAATATTAAACCAGCCACGCTGCATCAATTTAAGATACTCCACTTTCTAAAAAAATAAAAAATATATTTTAATAACAATAATAACAAGGCTTAATTTTTCCCCCCACCAATTCTTGTTTTGTTTATATCTACTTTATGGACAATAGCATAACCAACATTTACTTGATTAAATTTTTTTAACTGATCTGATCATATATTATCTCTTTTATTATAGAAGGAAGATCTACTTAACCCACTATGAATATTTAATGAAGATTGAGCATGATTTTCACAAATGAACAGTACGGTGTTAATAAACATGAACTATCCTGCACAGAATATTATTGGATTCTATTATTTAGCTATTTTGTTTAATTAGTAATTTCTCAGCATTTCTTGGGTTTTTAAATTTTACATTCTACTGAAGATTTAAAACACCCTGAGCTATCTTAAATGTCACAAATGGTGTTAATTATTCATTGTCAGGTGGTAATTGAAAGTGTAGGTTTCATTAGGACTCATACTTGGGAACGTACTTACAAATTTAGAGTTCACAGACTTGTTTAATGCTGTGTAAGTTACTCTATATACAGGCAGCAGAGAATTAGTGATTTAACTTGTAAATCGCACAACAAATGTGTTTACTTGATGTATTGTGCTCTGTTATGTAAAGGTTATATAAATTCTGTCTGTACTTAGCAGCTTTTGTTTGGCTGGTTGGATAACAGTGACAGACGCCTGGTTTTAACCGTCATCTCAACCAAAATGCCTTAGAAAGGCAACGGCGTTCATGTAAACGACAAAAGTTGTGAAGCTGATGTGTGCGTTATGTTAATGCGGAGCCTTTTGTTAAGGAATATTCTGCTCTTGAAAGAGACAGACAATCATTCTCATAGTTAATCTCAACAGACACAATGTACATCTTCGGCTAAGCAGACTGAGTGAATCAGGTACAAAGGCACTAATTTCATGATTAATGTAAAGTCAGCTGGTCATTATCACAGAATAGTCCCTGATGTGAAACTTAGGGTCTCGTATCGCCCTGTGAGGGTTTATTTTGTGGTAAAGATTGGCTGACTGTACAGTACATTATCCCACTTATTGCATGGCTGGACATGAAATATTGATTTTGAGTTGAAATTATTTTATTATGTGAGAAGAGAGAGACTGTGGAGTGTCTAGGAGCACTGAACTCTATATATGTCTGTCTGACTGTACATTAACCCAGTTATTACATGGTTTGACAAATTAATAAATTGAGATGAAATATTTTGGTTATCAGTGAAATTATTATATTAGTTTAGATGTAGAGACTGTTGAGTGAAAAGCTCTGTAGGTTTTCTAAATGAACGGTCATTTATACAGCCATTATTCAGCAATATACTGCATAAACAATAACAAAAATAGTAAGTCGCTATTTTCTTTCACTCCATATTCTTCAGTCTGTATGTCTTGTTTTGACATCTACTTTCTGACATGTCCATTAAGGTTTATTTGATGACGTCAGTACCAGTCTAGTGTATATTTAGCGCTTCCCATACTGCAGTACAGCCTTCAGGTTCTCGTGCCAGCAGATTCACCTAAAAAGATTATATAGACCAAAGATTACTGCGGGATGATTCAACCTTGTAAAGGTCCCCAATGGTGAATCATATTTTTGTTCCGATTAATCCAATATATCTCTTCCCAGAGAGTTTTGAGAGAGAAATAAGATAAAGCATAGGTCAGCAGTGGAGGATATACCATATGAGATACAGGTATAGGCCTATTTAAAGGATAGGCAGTAGACGGACACTAAACAAATATGCATACTCATTCAAAATATGTCTAAACATACACACAAAAACAGCATTTCAACAACCAAGCCTTTCTGTCACAAACATATCCTGCAGCTTTAAGAATACTGTCTGTGTTTGCTTCTCAACCTGCTGAGCTAATGGCTAAAGATGTCACTAGCTGGTGTATATAGAGTATTAGGGTCACCTTAGGGCAGCCAAGCCTCATAATTTGTGTAAAGAAAGACAGGCTTTATAGGGACAGGTTGAAAGGTGTGGGTGTTTGTAGAAAAGGATGGAGTGTTATTTAGTTGTTTATTTTTATTTCTTTGTATAAATGGACTTTATATTACGTATGCTGCCATATTGCTTCTATCTTGTTTATTAGTAAATGTTTGAGAAAGAGATTCTTATATTTATTTATTTATGTTTTTTGGAATTGTCTATGCCAGTGCTTCAAGCTAGTGGAAAATTATCTTTGCTGCATTTTTTATCTTTTCTGAATATTCAACATTTTATATTAGCAGCAAAAGACGATCATTATTATAATTTAATTGTAATTAATTTACTCATGTAATTTTTGCAGATTGTCACATTTTGGGAATGAACTACTTAAGTGCGTTAACTTGCTTCACATTGTCATTGATTTGAAATGCTGAAAGGCATTCAATACTGCATTAAAACAAGAGTGGATTGTAAATGAGATTCACAAACAAAATGAAAACTCTGACATTAAATGATTGATTTAGACCTGGAATAAAATAAGCTGTAAAAAACTAACATTCCTAACCACAAATAAGCACACACATGCTGGTTTCACTGTATTAATGAGGACATCTCATCAAGTGAGGGCCACTTTGTGGGTGTTTGATGTTTCACTCTATTTGTGAGGACATTTCCCAAAAGTTGCTCCTCTCCTAGCCAAACTTGTATATGCACGCACACATTCTGTCAAGTCAATCCAGACTGAACGATTTCATTTTACTGGAAAGTGTTTCAGTCATGTGTGAGTAAGAAGGTTATTCTACAGGCTATTCTCTCTTTGGGCTGTGGTGACCCTGTCGTAATGAAGAGCTACATTTGTTTCCCTCAAGTCTCAACCCTTGACCTGTGAGAAATATTTCGTCCTCTGTAAGCTAGACCTTGTCACTTCCTTTGGTTTATCAGATGCTGTTTCCTTAATGTCTACAGACTACAGTATGTCAAAAAAGTAAGAATAACATCCCACAGTGCTCTGGGTATAATATAAACACAAAAATCTATATTTTCTGACCCATTATTATACCATGATTTCTATCATCACTACCACTATATACAACTTCAGTCTCCTCCTTAATTCAATCCATAGTAGGCTTGACAAAGTGTATAGTATTACATTTGAACTTAAATGAGTTCAGAGCTTATTTGGATCATCTGATGTCCACTAAATTCAATCCAATTAGATCCACTTACAATCACCATATATAATTAGCAGCAACACTGTCTTCACACTCATTAGTTTTAGTTGTTGGCTCCTTAACTTGCACTGAGCTTCAAACACTATCCTAGGAGAACTGGTATCTAACCCTTAAAAAAAAAAAATAAAAAAAAAAAAGTTTCAGGTTTTCTTCAGGTTTCTCAAAAAAGTCTGATATGTCACACAGTCAGTAAAGGTTTATGCCATAAATCCACAATAATGATGACAGCAGTAATGTGCTCTGTTCTTGTGCGTAAGAAAGGGAGATAACACAGAATACAAACATGATATCAGCTTAGAGATACTTGACTTTTCAGTGCTTACCAAAATATAGGAAATAACACTATAGCCCCATGCAAAATAAAATAAATAACTTTATTTTTTAAATAAAAAAAAAAAAAAAAAAAAAAAAAAAACAAGTTTCGCAATTAAACATTTAGAGACATTAAATACTTTCTATAAAAAATGTGGCCTGATTCATGGAACACACAGCATTTTTGTGTAAATTGTATTTAAACCCATTGGTGTGTAAATCTATGTCACGTTGCACACACACGAGGGACGAGGAGACGCTGGCGAATATGTTGACAGGACTTTATTTGCATGAACCAAGGGAGACGAACACAGGAAGACGTTCACAGCGGACAGAGAACTAGGGACAGGGAACACTTTAAATACACACGAGGAGGGGATGACGAGACACACCTGGGATCAATGAACCATCATGGGGAACACCTGGGACAAATTAAACATGGGAAAGGAACACCTGGGGAGCAAGACACAGACAAAACATGGAACAGAGTCTGACAATCTACCTGTTTATTTGAATGCACAAAATGTATAAATATTAAAGAATTCTGTGCATGTTTCATGAATAAAACACACTGTTTTAGAACTGTAAACATACAGTACATTTGTCCCAAAAGTGTTGCATAACAAAGTGTTGTATAAAATGCTGTAGTTAAAAATAGAAAATTACAGGACTTGCCAGCATTTTGAACTAACTACGTATGCTATCTGTCCCAACAATCAGTATTAGCTTTACAATCTTATTTGGCTGGTACCCTATAGAGTCTTAACAGGTAATGTGTGGGCTTGTCCTCAAGTGGACTGTCCATTCTGAGAAGTGTCTATGAGAATGGCCTAGAAGCTACTTGCCTATGATGCCTTACATAATACATTATATTATTACAGTATTTCAACATGCAAAAGCCTTTTCTGCAACCATCCAAGGAAATCTGGCACAGTTTTTGGTGAAAGCACAACATTATCTGTAGGGGTACACAACCCCAGGATGAGAGCTTTCACCATAACTGAACTGTGTTTCAGTGCTTCAGTGCTTTTAATGATTCAGAGGAGCATCTGGTTACGAGTATGTTAGTTATGACTTCAGAAGTCAGAAGATTTGTAGCAACATCAATAGCAAGTTTGATTTTCCTAGTCAGGGGAAGAGTAGAGGAGTGGGGGTGGTGAGACTGACTGCGTCTGTGTGTGTAGATTGTTGGCAGAATAATCCCTCAGTCTAGATGGTCGAAGTCAATCTTAATTGTGATGGAGACAGCCGGCATGAGAGTGGCAGGATTAATGTTTTGCTTCAAGATTGAATGTCACAATGGTGGGAGGGGGTGAAAGGGAAAAATGGAGTGTTAATAAACTTTCTGTAAAGCTGCAGCTATTTTATGGGAAACTAGCATCTACTGAAAATGTAGTTTCACGTTGTGTTGAATGTGAGTTGATTACAGTCTGTACATGAAAATACATACAATAAAAAAAATTTTTTTTTTTTTTTTTTTTTTAGATCTCTAGCTTTTTTGCAGGACAGCTAACAAAGGCTACACATTTTTTTAACATGTGCAAAGACGTCATTTTATTTAAGTATTCCTCTAGTCTTCAACTGAGGTGCAGGTGTCTATGAAAATCTAATTTTTTAAGCCTCATGGTCTGATCCTATTTTTCAACACAGGTGCAGATGATTAAATTGATTACCCAGCTCTACACTTGGCAGAGTCAGAAAAACATGCTCCCTGTTGATAAAGGAAGCTGATATTTCCCCATGATTGACAGGTGTAGACACTGTACCTCCTAAATCTGAGAAATGAAAGTTACTTGCATGCAAATTGCAATGCAATCAACTGACAATGACTGTACAATCAAGAGTGGGTAACACTTATGCAACCTTATTCAAAGACGGGACTAAACAGATTACATTTAATTTGAACTAATCTTCCAGGTACTCGCAGTGTCTGGTTAATAACTGTTATCATTGCATAATAAGTATAAACTACTGTGTGTTTTTCCAGATGCCTACCCTATCTCAGAAGTGGTGTATAAGTGGACTAAAGGCCCTGGCATGTCTGTGGTAGTGGCAGAGGAAGGGTCACGTCTTAACCAATACCATCTGATCGGCCACACTGTCGGTACGGAAGATATCAGCTCAAGCAGAGGTAAATAACTTTCTCTGACCTAATCCCATTCATTGCAATGTCAGTCAGTCAGTCATTTGGTGTAAGATCTGTGATTCAGCTTTACAGTTAGGACCATGCTCCAAAACGTTTTGTAGTAACGCAATGCCCATTCTTGCTAATATATCATATATTTTCTATCACAGTTCATCTGGCCTTCTAACCTGTTACATCTAATGCATTATTTCCTGGAACAGGATGTGTTGCATCACACCATTTCAGTTTCATTTTCCTACACTGTATGACGTCGTCTCTCATAAAGTGATAGCCCTTCTGTGATTATAGCTTTTTCAAATCAAGCTGGATGGCAAATGAGTGATGAGGATTTCAGTACACCTCCCACTCACGGCCAGCTGTCTCTAGGACCAGCGAGAGTGCAGGAAGAGATGAAGATGAGAGAGAGGGAGGGGAGAAAACAACACTTATTCTGAGCCATTGGGTCTGGAGGGTTAATCCTTGTGCTTCCCCATCAGTTGTGCTTTTACCATGTGACGTCGGTCAGCCACCATTGGCTCAATCTGGCAAGAGACACATGGGAGACGAGCGAGGGGGAGAAGGGGGCCTAGGCAGCATCTGCCTAATTCGGTTATGTAAAGATGACTGGTAATACACTCATATAATTTCTGCCTCTAGCTTTGTAATCATGTGTGGGGGGTGGGGTTGGGGGCTTCCCCTTGTTCCGCCTTTATGGATGTACATATATGGATAACCGTGCTGAGCTGGCGTACACTCATATTCAATAAGACATTATCGTGCTCTGATCATGAGCTAGGCAGACACTATCAACTACGCCGACCACGTCATGTTTTAAATCCTGCTGAGCCATCTCTCTTTCTCACTGCCATTGATTTACACATCAAAGTTTGCCAGCTGTCATCAGGTGGCCAGAAACACTTTTAGAAACTAGCTCTGAGGCCACGGTGTTCCTTTCTGGCAGGACTTTATAACCTGTCTTCCCCTGTCTTCTGATTTTTGCCCTGGCTGACTTGAAGGACAAAGGTCAGCTGGTCATTACTGCCGCTAATCTGAGGTGCAAACCTCTTTACAAAGCTAAAAATAGATCCCCCAGGACTTCATCTCATGAGCGCAGGGTCATTAGCTCAAACCCAGTGGAAAAGAAAGAAAGAAAAAAAGAAAGGGAAAAAATACCTTCTAGAGTCTGCCAAACAGAGGGTAAAATTATCTCCAGTGGAAATGTCAACATTCAATCACTTGGCCCGCACTGTAAAGACATCCAGATAACCTGTCACCTTTTATTAATAAGAACTCCCATCCAGAAAATAGCACCTACCCTTCCCAACTGTTTCAAATTGATTTAGAAGCTGACCCCCCTCAGGTGCTCATCCATTCCTATTAACGTTCAACACTGTGTTATTTTTCTTTGAGTGTAAAAAAAAATCAGACCACTCACCAGTTGACCAGCATGGCAGCGTTGTTCTCTGCTATGAATGGGAGTTCTCCATAAACACTCCAAAAGCTTAAAAGTAAAATCCACCACAGTCGCAAGTTTGTAGCTCTCAGAAGAGTCCCACCCCGCAGGGCACATCCAAGGTGGAATATATGAAATGGGGCACTGCCAGTTGTGCTTTCTTCCTGGCCATTGAAATAAAGGGGCGAGCCAGACGAAGGGGATGCAACGAGCCCCTCATGACGAGGACATCTTTGCCCCCAGGGCCCTCACGACGTTCAAACTTTTCCTTGACTTCCAAGGCTCAACAGCTTGTCATCCTCTTCATCTGATCCACTTGATCTGTCCCCTCTGATCTTGACTAGATTTTGCGCTATTGCTCTGTTTTTACCCCCTTTTTTGTTCCCTCGCTTTCTCTCTGCAAGCCGTGAAAGAGTATATCCTAAATGCAGATGGCCTGGCCTGACAGAATGGATGGAACTATTGAAAGAGCGAGAGACAGAAGAGTTTGTGTGTGTGTGTGTGTGTGTGTGTGTGTGTGTGTGAGAGAGAGAGAGAGAGAGAGAGAGAGAGAGAGAGAGAGAGAGAAGCCTGCAGGATGCAGATTGTGACAAGGGATTAGTGGGACACAAAAATCCGATTTTGCCAGGAGAAAGCAGCAGTCATCAGTGGATTTTCTAGTTTATCAGATTGTGTGGCTCAAAAGGATTTTTTTTTTTTTTAAAGCTTCAAATTCAATCGTCGCTTGGTTAACAGGATATATAATGTTTTTTCACTCTGTATTCTCTTTTCTATTCCAGTTAATGATTTACCTCACCATGTTCCAGTGCACAGCGTGACAGCTCTTAAACACACCATAAATGTGACTTTTGTTTAGATGATTCAATCTCTTCCATTCTGATGATTTATGCCGTTTTTATACATTTAAAATAATTTATGTTCTACTCTTTTACTAAAACAAAATCAAATCATCTTTGTGGCCAGATATTATGGTAACTGTCCACTATTTGGTGCTAATGAGACCACAAACTAGGAAGTCAAAGTGTTTCCCTTTACTCTGAAAGAATACTGACAACACTGTTAGAAAATTCCATAATTACATCACTTCCCATTTGTTTTGATTTGCCTCATATTATTATGTCTCTGTCTTCCCTTGACTTGTTTCTCTCCACCTCTCTCTCTTTCTCATTTTCTCTTTAAAGCTCTCAGCTGGTTTGCACTTATCCCCCAAGAGTTTAATCACACTCTATCCCTCCCTCTCTTAGTCCCTTTGTTTCTTCTCTTACTTATTTTTCCATCACTGTTTTCTATTCTCATCCTTTCTTTCACTGCAGGTCAATACACAGTCATGATGGCCCATTTCTACCTGAAGAGGAAGATCGGTTACTTTGTGATTCAGACCTACATGCCCTGTTTCATGACTGTCATTCTGTCCCAAGTCTCATTCTGGCTCAACCGTGAATCTGTCCCTGCCAGGACGGTCCACACACACACACACACACACACATAGCTGTTCTACAAAACAGTATACAAAATACAAATAGTTCTACATGAACGGGGTACCCCATCGTGAATGCTGCCATGAATGTTTATTTTGTTAATTTTTTTTACGTTTTAATTTTAGTAACCTTATTATTTCAATGATTCTGTCTAATACATATTTCATTTCAAAAACAATTTTTAATAAATTTAGTTGTAGCAAGGCCCTGTTATCCCCTGCTGGTTAATGTTGTAACTACACCATCTGGACACAGCTTCTTTCTTTATTGAGAAATCCAATATTAGCTGTATAGTATAACTCAGGTGATTTACTTGAAAAGTTAAGAAAATGCTAATGCTAATAGATTTCTTGAGTTATTATAGATTTCTTAAACTATATTTTTTAGTAACTTCGTTTTATTTATATAATTTTATAATATGTATTATTACTTTTAATTATTATTTTTATATTCTCAGTTTTCATTTTGACTTTATTTATTTTTTTCAAATTTATAGCTGTAATTTTGTTTTAGTTTCAGTTTTTGTAATTTTAGTACTACAACTTTCAGTTAGTTGGCAAGGGAACATTTCTAATTCTCATTTAAGTTTTTTTTTAATTAAAGTCTTTTATCAAATGTTTTATTTTATTTTATATATGGCGAAATGTTACGGTTAAAAAAGGGCAGTGATTAATTTTTTTTCAATAGTTATTTTCAAAGCTTTCCATTTACTTTCATTATAAAAATAACTTTATTGTTTATTTAGTTCTAACAAGCAAGTTTTTGGTCAAAACTATAACATTTAATTTAATAACATTATATAACATTATAATTTTTATAATCTCTTGGTGTTGATTCCAAACAAAAGGAAATATATCGGCATTGGCTCTAGGCCAAAATAAGTTGAAAAATATCGGCATATCGGATATCTGCAAAAATCCAGTATCGTGCATCTCTACATTTAACAAAAACTATTTCAATAGTTTTAGTTAGGATTAACAACACTGTTTAGCATGGCTCTATTAGCCCCTACTGGTTGATGCCAAAACTACATCATGCTAATGGTAATAGCATTTTCCAGTTATTACAGATTTATTAGACAAAAAAACTGCTTGCACCTTTAAAAACTTATCAGCATCAGGCATTTACTCCTCCAGTTCTGTTTGAATGTAGAGGATTTTTTTTATAATTATATTCCGTTTTCACTCACCTAGCATGTATGGATTCTTATCTGTTGATCCTTTCGTTCTATCACTTAATGTTTTGCTTTGTACATCGATAATTCTCATCAAAATGGAAATCAGAATTGACTGATGCAATCAGAAGGAATGAAGAGCTAATCCACTCGGATGAATTCACACCGCCGTTCCTATTCAATTCTGGGGTCTTGCATTGTATCTTGGCAATAATCAGCAAAGCGAGCAGACAGTCCACAAGGAATATGTGCCCACGCAAACAACATCTCTATGACTGGCCAACAAAGGATACATCAAAACATAATGCTTTCTCACACGCATAAATATACAAATATCCATGAACAGAGGCTCAAAGACCCACTCGCTGATATCGCTCATGTGACAGTGTTTTATTTGCATAGCCCGAGGCTGATAAATCCCGGAGCAGTATGCCTGAGGGACTGTAGTACCATAGCTATTTATGTCTAAAAGTCTCTGTGACCGCTGCCTGGGGCAATCTGCAGATCTCCCTCTGACAGGGACAGCACACCTCCGCTCCTCAGACACTTATCGAGAACTATTCTCAGATGCTTTGCATAAAGAATTATAATGATACTGTCATTCTAAGGGCATGTTAGATATAAAAAAAAAAAACATTTATATCTGATCTGCAGTGCTGCTGTGTTTGACCCTTCATTGCTACCTTCTATACAGTTTTTTGCTTTGATAGAAATAGACTGCATTTTTGGGATTGAAATGATCTTAATGTCAGTATTCCCAGCTGGTATGCTTTGTTTTGGTGTTAAGATGAGTTTATGATTCATGAAGCAATATTTTATTAATGCACAGTATTTTAAATATTAAAAGAATTATGTTGGATGAAAGACAGAATTTCCCTGCTCACTGGTAGCGGCATTCACAAAATGATTCTGCTTCTACTGGAAATTTTTTGATAGATTACTGTGATTGTTTTCGGCACATAAATCATATTATATTATAAGCGTTATATGCCTGTTTATTTTGAAGAAGAAATTATGGTGTAACTCTTATATTTTTTAAAGAAATGTATTTTGTTAATTAAGCATGTTGTTTGATTTATGGTGTTTTACAAAGATACAAACTTTAAGGATTTAGACTGTAATGTCTATTAGTTTTCATTTACACTACCTGTCAAAAGTTTGGATATATTATTTGGAATATTTATGATATTTTAATGTTTCTGAAAGAAGTATCTTACGCTCACCGAGGCTGCATTTATTTGATCAAAAATAATGTGACAACAATATTTTAGAATATTATAATTTACAATAACTGTTTAATTTTAATATATTTTAAAAAGTAATTTATTCCTTTGATGGCAAAGCCGAATTTTCAGTAGCTATTACTTCAGTTTTCAGTGTCACATGATCCTTCAGAAATCATTCTAATATGCTGATTTGGTGCTTAATTGTTATTTTTTTATTTGTGCTTTTGCTTTGTTTGTTTTTGCTGCTTAATATGTTTGTGGAAACCATTATACATTTTTATCAGGATTCTTTGATCAATAGAAAGTTCAAAAGAACAGCATTTATTAGAAATAGAACACTTTTGTAACATTATAAATGTCTACTGTCACTTGTGATCATTTAAATGTGTTCATGCTGAATGAAAGTATTGACTAGATGAATTGCTGCTGAAAATTCAGCTGAATAGGTTAAAATATAAAGTTATTTTAAATTGTAATAATATTTCACAATATTACTGTATTTGCTGTATTTTTTATCAAATAAATGCAGCCTTGGTGAGCACAAGAGACTTTATTATTAAAAAATCTGAATCATTCCAAATTTTTGACCAGCTTTAGAGAGCCCTTATTTTATAATATCCTAAATCTATGTGTTTGGTCCTCCACAGGTGTGACCACAGTGTTGACCATGACCACCCTCAGCATCAGCGCCCGCAACTCTCTGCCCAAAGTAGCATATGCCACTGCAATGGATTGGTTCATCGCTGTTTGCTATGCCTTTGTGTTCTCTGCGCTTATTGAGTTTGCCACAGTCAACTACTTCACCAAACGCAGCTGGGCTTGGGATGGAAAGAAGGCCTTGGAGGCTCAGCAGCCTAAAGTAAGATAGTATGTTTTCACGCGTTTGTGCATATATGGTGTTCAACTCTCAGAAAACCTCAGAAAGAGTCTTTGTTGAGTGCAGTTGCATAACATGACAGTTCAGTTCTGTTTGACGCAAAGGTTATAATACATTAAGGTTAGGGCTGGACGATATGGCCAAAATTGATATCACGATATACAGTGGGTACGGAAAGTATTCAGACCCCCTTAAATTTTTCACTCTTTGTTATATTGCAGCCGTTATATAATATGCTTTTTCTAATTGTTTTGAGACACCCGAACAGCTTGAGAGTGCTCAGTCACAACATTTCAGATGGTGACACTAACTCAAATGTCAACTGCTTTATTAGATGAGCTGTATTTGTGTTAGCTGCTGATGGATGTCACATTTGGAAATTCTACAGGATGGATATTTAGCCTTTACCCAGAATGCCCTTCAGACCTGACACTTCATTGAGATTTCTGAGAGCTGCTTGTTTGATGTACATGCAAATGCCAGGTTTCTCCTTATGCAAGATCTATTTTCACCCAGGTGGTAATTTTTCATTCGCAGTGGACAAACAGAATTCAAAGAGCGGTCAGTGTACATGTCACTGTGCTGAGTTTGTTAGTAAAGGCTCTGCAGTCAGACCTCTGAAGGTCAGATTTGGACCTCCAGCACAGCTTTCTTAAATGTCACCCTCACTTTTTTTTTATCAAACACCAACTTATTCCTCCTCTCCTGCGGCGGCGTCTTTCTAAAACCCCGAACCCCTGATGTGGGGCCCTTCTTTAAGAAAGAGCAGGAATTGATGTATACAAAATACTGTTCATTATTGGCATGAGTATATTATATGCACACACACACACACTGCTATTCAAAAGTTTGGGGTCGGTACATTTAAAAAAAAAAAATGTTTATGAAAGGTGTCTCTTTTGCTCACCAAGAAAAATACAGTAAAAACAGAAATATTGTGAAAATTCGTATAATTTAAAATAAGATTTCTATTGGAATATACTTTAAAATGTAATTTATTCCTGTGATGCAAAGCTGCATTTTCATCAGCCATTACTCCAGCCTTCAGTGTCACATGATCTTTTAGAAATTCTAATTCTACATAAAAATTCTAATATTTTAGAATTCTTTAATGAGTAGAAAGTTACAAATAAAAATGTGTATATATGTGTGTGTATCTTCAAAAATGTATCATAAAAGTGTTCTGAATTCTTTACAGCAATTACGTGAGTTGCTCAATGATAATCTTACTTTTCAATGATCATAAAATCTGTGAGTTGAACTCAGGAACTCAGCTCCAAATAAGATCTTTCCGGCTATTGTGAATCAGATCAAATGGTTCAAGACTCATTTGCAAATCACCCATCACTACTTCTCACATGAACTTGACTTAAATTTGGGTGTTTCTCACTCCTTTCTAATGACTGAAGACATGTAATACAGCGCACAGACTTGTATGGACTATTTTAATGATGCGTTTGCACCCCCTTTTAGACCTGAAAGCTCTATTCTTTTAAGTAAAGATGAATTGTGGAAAAATGAGGTGGCTAGAAGCAACTCAGAACCTTTTGTCCGCCACCCCCACAAGCTGGCATGGTGACAGATTACCTCTGCCCACCTGAAAGTACTGGAACATAAAAGCAATACAGCAGGATTTTAGAGTTATAACTGCTGCTTATTTTCTTTTGTATCTAAAGTAATAATACTGATTGTTGAGAAATGTCCTTGAAAGCATTATAACTTTAATAGATGAACAAGAAGGTGTGTAACTGTGATAAACTAAATGATATTTAACTTGGAAGAGTGCCTCAAAGTCACTTGCACATACCCTTGAGTGAGTCAAGTTCAATCCACTCTTGTCTAAACCGCAGTCTCAACCGCTCCATTATTATACTGTCGCCTTAGGCCCCGTCCACACGGAGATGCGTTTAGCTGTATACGCATAAATTTTGTATCGTATAGGCATTTCGTCCACACGGATCTGGCGTTTTGGGAGAGTGAAACCAATATTTTTTGAAACCGGGTCCCAGAGTGGATAAATCTGAAAACGCCACCCTTGCGTTTTCGTGTGGACAGCGAATCCATACATTTTCTGAAACGATGACGTCATCAGCCCACGTCTCGCCCCTAGTCAGACACCGCTACGTCACGTAACAGCAACAAAAACATGAACAAACACTGAACGATTGTCTTTTTATTAACTAACATTAACACAGATTAATAAATGTATTGTTCCATGTTCGTTTGTATACCGCGCGCAAGGTTTATGCGCATAGTCCAAGTCTTCTTCTCCGTTTTTAGTGTATCTCTGTGGCAGAATTACACATGCTGGTCTGGCATGTATACTACATCGTTTTGTGTCAGTTTTGTGGTTTCGTGTGGACGCAGATATTTCTTGAGATGAGGAAAAAAAAAGATCGGATAGGGAAAGCTCTGGCTTCGTGTGGACATAGCCTTATTAATTAATCTCTTCTGCTGGCCCTGCAGAGGCCATTGTTTAATGTTCAGACTCAGATCTCTGTTAACCATGATTGTATTTCACCTTTAATTAGAAGGTTACGACCTTCAAACTGGTTAATTATCTGGGATTTCTCTGAGCAGATAGTTGGCAGCTTTGTTCTTACATTGACAACCTTGTTTAAAATCTCCTGACTATAACAATGTCTTCACCTTTCTCAACCACAGAAAAAAGACCCACTAGCACTCTCCAAAAAGCCCAACAATGCCTGTTCGTCTGGAGTTAACTTCACCTCCAACATCACGAAGGATGCTGCTATCTCAACCATCTCCAACAGCACCACTGTCCAGTTGAAAAGCGCCGAGACCAAGCCTGCAATGGACCCCAAAAAGACCTACAACAGCGTCAGCAAAATTGACAAGATGTCCCGGATTGTGTTCCCGGTCCTCTTTGGGACATTCAACTTGGTCTACTGGGCCACATACCTCAACAGGGAACCGGTTATTAAAGGAGCCGTTTAGCCCACACAAAATCCCCGACACCACCGCGACATTCCATGCACAACCTCTTTTTCTTCTCCACTTCAGTATTCAATGACAAGCTGACCCTGCAAAAAACGATGCCGAGTACTTATTTACTGCACCTCTCACTTCGCTAATCTATAAGAGGAGTGCTCCTGTTGAAGTTTCCTCCTGATATCATAAATTGCATGATCAATTCAAAGCTCTATGGGAATATAATTGCCATATCTGCCTTGACTTCCTACTTTATATTTATTTCCCTGGTTTCCACTGGTTATCGCAATCATCTTTCAATGAATTGAGCGCCTCACAGGCTACCATTTCAGTCATGAAGTTTCCAAGGGACGTGAACAAAAATGAACGCATTTGGCATCAACATTTATCACAGTATAAAAAAAAGATTTATGAAAATAAGTACAGCAAGGCCAAATGCTATGCAAAAACCATTTTCTACTATGTTGCAATGGGTAATTGCTTATAATGAAACCCTTGCTTTGTATTAATGGACTTGAGGCTTTTCTTCTTTGTTTAATAGCTTTAGCATCAATGGTATAAGGCAGACAGATGCTATGCTAAGTTTTTAGCTAAGCTAAAAATGTTGCCTTCAGGGGGATTACTTCATACAAGTGCTCTGGTATGTCCCGAAATTACTGATTTTACTTTCGTTTGTCATTTTTTCTAAGCTTTTTTGAAGTAGCTAAATAGAATTGTGCACCTTAGGCAGCTTTTCACACTTTAGACCAAGATATCCTGCAAGGTGAACAAGGTCGGGTTGCAGCTAAGACTTTTGAATCATTTGTACATAGCTTGTGTATGCTTTGCTTTTAACGTAGATGCGGCTTAACGTTAGTGAGGAAGAGCTGAAAATGGTTTTGATACACTACTCTAATGTGCAGCCAAAGCGACATGAATGATGGCGAAAATGCAGATTGTATTGTGAAATAGTGTAGGCTTTGACAGAATGTGGCATTTCTTTACAGTCAGTAGTTTTTGACTTAGCTTTTCATGCTGTTTACACGACAGCCGTTTTCTTACTTGTCTTTGTGTTGTAAATTGGTCATTAGGCTTTGAGGCTGGAACGAGTCAGCAAAAGCCATAAATGTTGACACCTAGTGATATTTTCTGTGCGCTACCATGTAGACTAATGTGAAATGATCAGGTAAAAAGGTCTGAAAACAAAATGAAAGAAACATTTACGTTGAATAATTCATACATTTTTCAGATTCTAAAAGAGGGCGAAAGGTCAGGTATAGAGCAGAAAGGAGCAACCTGCTGTTGTCAAGCTTGTTAAAATGGATCTTGTTGAAACCGAAATGTCACACTATATTGCCATCTCTGGCCTTCAACCGAAACGCATGGCTGCTTATTTGGGGAATGAAATGGAGGAGTGAACAATGATCTTGTTAGTGCGAAAGTGCGACTCTAAAAGATTCAGGTTTTATCCTGTAATCATTCTATTCTGAACTTGTTAAATGAAAGTGAGACGGCACAAAGAACTAAGTGTCCCCACGGATGATGTGTAGCTCATTAAGAGGTCAACTATGAGAGCCATTAAGCTCCTCTGTACGCCACTCAGGCCTATAGGAGAATGAATCATTAAAAGAGTTCAGTGAGTCAGTAATGTGCCCTTTTACAACAATGGATGTTTCCAGAAATGTAGAGATTTTCCTCAAAGCATACATGTCTGAAGCAATAAATTCTGCCTGATATGTTTCTTGACCAACTTCTGTGATCACTTCTGTTTGAGTTGCTCAAAATATGTCTCTTAATTGCAAATCTTTACAACTAACCTGACCTAGAATGTTAAAGCCAGTCGCATTTGATCAACAGCCAGGAACGATGATCAACAAAGACTTTATTTACATCAAAAAATAGTAATTTCTTTGCTTTGGTTAATGCTGGACCATGTGCCACGGGATTGCAGGGGTTTTATGTTTATTGGGTTCATGGCTGCTCTTCACAGGCTCCTGGCAATAAGACATGCCTATGAAGCTTAGTATGATATTGTCCTAATGGAACGGTTGCTGCAGAAGCCACTGTAACTGTGGAAGAAGGATTCTTCCTGGGATTACTCCTAGGATTATACAAAACACACACGCATGCACACATCAAGACCAGAGTTCCTGGAGCAGGGAGGATACAGAATCCTTCCTCTGGTTCTGTGTGCCAGCAACATCTGGCCCACATCTGTTTGTGAAGGATTTAGCTTCACTTAAGTTGCTTTTCCAACCAGTGCTCCTATACATGGTATTGAATTAAACTAGTACCAATGCGATCATGTATTTGCATTTCTGTATTACATGTGTGATATTATATGCTAGCATATTGCTGGAAACTGGCAGCTGTGTTCGGTTTGTGTCATAGAATATACAAATGAGATATTTGTGTATTCTGTGCATTTACATATATATGTCACCGTTCTTAAGTATACTTTATGAAAGTATGTCGTTATTTTGTTTTAGAGTCACACTGACATTTATTTGACATGTCGCACTCTTGTTGTGGGTTTAGAGAAAGCCTTTACTTCATTTTAATACATGTAAGGCAATGGTAAACCACTCCGATATACTAAACTCAACTCTCACAATAATACACAGCATGCCAATGGACCTTAAACCTTTAATCCTATGAGTGGTGGAGTGAGAGCTTGGAATCCTATTCCTGGTGCCGGACCGGAATTCCACTAGTGTACAGTTGAGAAGATGTCACTCAGATATGTCATTACAGATTTATGTTTGTATCATGAAGAGATACCCAGTTGTTTTCATGGTATTATTGAGAAAAACCCATAGATTGCATCTTCTAATGCTGAAAATGCATTTTGGTATCAAAAGGGGTTTTGGTTATGTCCCTATTTTGATTTAATCTATTGTGCAAAGATGACAGCTAACCATTTAAAGTAATAGTGGCATGCTTGTTGACATAATGTGTTGATCATACACAATTTAAGCACTGAGATGTTGAAATTGACAATGATTTAAAAACATAGTATTCATAACACTTGTACACTGTAATAATTGTATCAGTATTATTCAGAATGTCTTTCTTTTCATCCACTCGTATTAATTTCTTCTACTTGATTTTATTCATTTTACTTTTGATGTTTGTGTGCGTGTGTGTGTGTGGGGGTTTCAACTTGATTTGCTTAAATTCAAAGTGGTCTTAAAAGAGCATGTGTTTTTTTTTCACTAGAGGGTTTGGCACCACTTTGTACATCAAAAGTTATGTTTTTAATTGTAGTGAGTTTAAATATTTGACAGTGCAGACAGTTTTCTTGTCACATCCTTTACCCTGTGGTTAGCTGCACTTTTTTTTAATTCTTCCCTTGTATTTGGTTCAGTATGTACTGTGGTTTAATCTCTGCTGCACTTCCTATCTGCATTGCTGTAATCAGCCACAAGAGGATAGTCTATCATGCATTTGAACTGGCCGAGTACATGCTCTCACTAACCCAAAAAAGGGAGACACCATACCGTCATAATAACTGGGAAACAAAGTGGTTCTACGTGTAGTTTTATATGTTATTAAAACGGAAGTGTGTCATTTCTTACATGTTAACATACTTTATCCTATATTCAAAGATAAAGAAGTAAGGATTTCTCCTAAAAAATGTAACCACTGATGCAATGTGGGGTTACCAAACTTTCGCTCCCGACAAGCATGTCGAAGACTCACCCAATAGCGTGCGTTTGGCGCGGGACTATCTGTTTACTTGACCAATGGCAGACGGGGCAGTGCACGGGGAAACCTGTTTGAAACAATGGTAATTTTATCAATTACATTGGGTGATGCTAGCGTTTCGAAAATACGCACTTTAACTCATTGGAACTCGTTATTTATTTGTTTTGTTTTTTTATTATTTTTGTTTATTTATTTATTTACATTTTGCCAAAATGACAAAGGACTACTTTAAAATATTCAAAAGTAGATTTGCCTTTGGCGTGTTTAGAGTACCACAGATACTGAACCTTCTAGAGAGAAGTCAGAGGAAAAAATCTCACAACACGCAGAGCAACGAGAGAAAGGAGCTTGTGTTTTTTTCCAAAGTGCGTGGGCGACTGGGAGCTGCCTGTGGTGATAAATGTCGGCGCTGTCTCTCAAATATTATACTGCATATGTGCACCTGCTCACATACAGACACAACAATGCGAGGACAACGTATGGATAGACGTTTCTCTAGCTTTAAATGTTAAATTAGCAGCAGTAGTTATATATATATAGTATATATACGTCTCAGATAGTAAAACAAAGAACTAAAGAATGACGAATGACATTTCACTGGCAATAATACGGCAAATGGTAAAAGTAACTTACAGAAAAATGCATTTGTCGCTATATTTATGCCAGAAACATCATAGTGCGATGCACTGAATAATACCATGTAGTAATTTATTCGACTCCAAATTGGTTGATGACATTTTCTTCACCCTCAATCTTGCTCTATTATCGGGTTAATCGCGCTGCGATCAATGCACGTGCAAAGTAATTACAGAAATTACGCGTCAATTTGCATTTCGAACACAGTCCGCGCGGTAATCATTTACCTAGCTGATAGCGATACTGTAAATAGCCGCTTTTTAATGTCTCTCCTCTTAGGAGGACCTCAAGTTCCGCCGAAGCGTCTGGGAAGGCAGACTGTTTTTTATGACGTATCGTAATTTGCAGAAACTCGCAGATGCGTTTGGGGTTTGAAGGTGTCCACTTTGGAAGTTTGCGCTCTGCCTCTGTGTGAACGTCAGTATGTGTATCTGGTGGTGCAATCGAAAGCAGCGCAACTTCAGTGAGCAGGAGGGGCTCTTCTATTATTTGATCCCGCTAATTGCCAATGTAAGTGAACTTTAAACACCGGACACTAGCCGAGGAGGTATTACCGTTCCCGTTGGACTATAACCTCGACTACTCGCCACTGTTTTCATTGAGCCTGGAAGAAAAGGCTGCAGCTGTGTCACTTTTTTTCCTAGAATAGTCTCCGTGCAGTGTGCCACATTCAACACGGAGACAATCTCACCTAAAACATGTCCACCAAATTGTTCCTCCACTTCTTACTTCTGTCAGTGTTTCGTGCATGGTAAGTGACTTTGCTACCCTCTTTGTCTTGGCATCAATTAATTGTTCATAAGGGTAATTCTGTTGCAGTTTTCTTATGCACAGTCTAGCATGATGCCACATAATATATCACCAATCTGGCGATGAAGATGTGATGTACGCACTGAGCACCTAACTTTAGGAATAAGTCTTTTGATTTGTGCTATTCAAGAAGTTCAAAAGACTTTGTGTATCTTTTTTTTCAATCTTTGCATTAGTATTTTTTTTTTTCGTAGCGCAATCGTATAAGACTTAGATCTCTATTGTCTATTTTCTAAACCGCATCTGTGTAGGTGTCATCTGTGAGATTGGTGTTTGTCTGGGTTTTCTGATAACGTTGCAAATCACGCTTTTAAATTAATCTTAGCTAACGTCGTACGTTATTTCACGGTGGAGATAACGCATGTGTGCGTCGTTACCGGAGCTGTCAGTTCCAAAGGTGCTGAACTAAGTATGTCCGAAAGTTTGTCTTCCTAGCCAGAAAACAGGGTGGAAATGCTGGCAA